TAAAAAAAAGTGTTCTACTTAACCTTTATCAAAATCAATTCTATGTAGGATGATGAAGCATATTTTTGTGGGGAATAATTTCTTAATTAAAGGAACTATTTTGCTATTCCGAAAGCGCTTACCTCTATAACTTTAATTTTATCCCTTTTGCATGGACTTTTAGCTTTACATGATAAAACTCATGCTCCCAGAAGACTACAGTGCAAAGTAGTTCTAAAATTAAATATCACGGCCCCAAACTGTTTTCATTCGGGCCCTCAACAGTAGCCTTCACCTAACTGGAGAAAACTTTGGTTTACCTTCAACATCTTTTAGTCAACACTCAAATGCTGAGGGTGTATGTGTAAATACTCTCGTTAGCAAAACCACTCGTAATTAGCGGTACTGCTTATACTACCGCGTATGATTCGTTATTTTAAATAATGATACTTTACATATGTGATCACTTTGAAATTTCTACGAGAATTTTCGCAATTTTCTCACAAGATGTGGCCCTTTGGAAAACGACTGCACCATCTAGCTAGGCTTTTAACGCAATGCTTCTCTGCATTTACTCACTAAGTAAATTAAGAAACGAGTTAATTTGAATAATCTAAACCATTATGTTACGATTTATGCTTTACGAGTACTTCACCCCTTGATCACGTTACAACTTGCTTTTAGAAAATTCTGTAAATCAGCCGATCTGATTGAGAGTCAAAGATATGTAAAAGGGCTTTTTCCTCTCCTCTTCCCGCCTCCTTCAGTCGTCATGTTGAGTGGCGCTGTGGGGATTAGTGATATACGAAATTCACAATATCACATTTTGTAACAAAAATGTTCATTGCTGCACAGCTTTAATTTTAAATGCTTATTTTTGAACTCATTTGTTTGTGAAAGCGTTAAACGACAACCGTTTGTATGCTCCGTACAAAGATGAGGGATACCTTTGGGGTGCATCTCACATCCAATAATTACGAACGATTTCGAACAAAATTGCCTAGAAGTATGTGGCCTTTTCCTCAAATTATAA